CTTTTATCCTGCTTCTACACTACGTCAATGATTCTATACAAAAAAATAAAGGGTAAAATACTAGCAGCTGTCGTTCAGATAGATATAAGAAGGAATGTATCATAAAAAAACGTGAGCTGCCTCATTCGAGTTCGAAAATAAATGAGCAAAACGAAAACTAAACATTTAGTGTATAGTTGGGCTAGATATAGTTTTCATTTGATACATTTATAGCTCATTCATATACTCGTCTGTAGAAATAGGAATAGATTTATTATAATCTTACTTAATTACAGCTCACATATACAGATGCAGCTATGTTTAAATATGAATTATAGCTATAAGTAAAACTATGTCTTTTTTCAGCATCTGTTCCATGCAAAAATATATTTTTGAAATCTTCATTTATATTAAAACTCGAATTAGACTGCTACTCACCTCGTGAATCTGTAAAGAATCTATGGTAGGTAGAGACATCAGTTTTGTTAGCCATTGAATTCTTGTTTTACTCTTCGAAAACCCGTTTAACTAGCTATAAAATCAGGTATTTGAAGTATCCAAAAAATATATCCTCTGGGACGTACCTGAGTAGTTCGGTTTCTGGATGCAGTTTTTATGTGTTTTGAGACCTTTTCAAGCGATATTCGATTAGAAAATACAAATTTGAGTCGAAACTAACATCAGATTTAGAATCAGTGTTAAAAACTGAGTGGATTTACATACATATTGCAAATAATTTTGAAAAATCTCTATATCCACGTCCACAGGGTTGGTCTGGTCAAAAACCACTATTTTTTCGATAACGAACCATTTCTTGACGGATCGTTCTCATCTTCTAACTACACTGAGATATTAATGAGACTGAACTGTAGAAAAATTTCAGCATGATGTGGTTCCTCTGTCGAAAGTTATCGTGTAAATGAATAGCTGGCCAGGCGGACATGCAGACCGATTCTAGTAGTGCACTCACCTTTTGAGCACACTAAAAATCAAAGTTTATTAAAAGCAAAAGGATTTGTGTGAAATAGGCTAGTAATATGAAGTTAATATTCCAAAAACTCCTCAATTCCATTTGCATCATGCTTTTTGCTTCGCAGTAAAACCTAAACCGAAGAAGAAACGAATATGATCTACACAAAAAGAAGTAATAATACAGTGAAACAAGTTCACGACGAGGACACCTAGAGTTACCAAACCCCTCTACATGTTATAAGTCCTTGGGAGAGCTTCTATTAGATCCGAAAAATTACCATAAACTATGACAAAGAATTTATTTAAATATTTTACTCTCAGAAACGTTTCATTTCTTTTTTTTTAAAGAATCCTGATTTTCATTGTGTTTTTAACGATAATTTTGTTGAAATATTGACTGAGACAATTTGTTTCTGTATTCTGCTTAAAAACTTTTAATATTTTCATAGGGTTGTGTTGCTACAACCTACTCATATTTGATATTATCTTTTTGAAAATTAATCCTCGTAAAGGAAGCGAGTGTATTATTTTTATTTACGCATGATTTTAATGTTGTGTTTTGCAGCAGATGTTCCAATGAAAAGATTACTTTATTGCGTTGTTGAATATACTTTGTATAGCAAAGAGCATTCTTTTTCAACAGTATATACGATATTTTTTATTGTGACGCGTAAATGATCAATTCAGATTAGCATTTAACTAACACAAAAGATTACTCCTCATTTGGTTCATCCTCACCCTCAAAAAAGATACGAATATGTAGATTAGAAACGCTTTCTATTATGTTAATCAGACAGAAAAACATAGCAAACACTGCCGTAGCATTGTATACGGTTGTACTAACTTGTTGAAAATTGATATAGAATGAGAATGATTTTAATTTCGCGTTTCCTTTTTTATTGGAATACACTTAACTATTGAGTAATGCATAGAAAAGTAAAGAGAAGTCAGATGTTACCCAAGATAGACAATTGAAAATTTTTTACATGAAAACTAACGACAAGTATACTTTTTTCTATGCAACAGAGAGAAAAAGCTTTTACAGAAATATATCAAAACAGTCTATAGTCTTTGTTCGCAGTAACGTTTTCTAAATGAGTCGATTTTTCTGTAGAACTGATTAGTCTCGCTCAATCTACTCAAGCTATCCTAGGATAGAACTAATCCTCTACTTGGCAAAATTTTATCCAGTCTTTTCACCCTCACCCTCGCTTTCGAGACATATCATCTGCATATAGTTTAAGCTGTTGAAAAGCGATTTATCAATGATATTGGTCTATTTCCATCCTTATAGAACAGAAATGGAACAATCATCAGATCAAACCGCCTCTTCTTCTTCAAAGTAGTATCTAGTTATTAATTTAATATTTTTTATTTAAACAATAATTCATAGAAAAGAAATTCATGTATCAAGGCAATCTCGGTTTCTTCTTTGGATTTGGTTTTTAATGACAATCTCCATCTTTATTATAATTATATTTTTCATTATATTTATTCGTATTCAATCAGTATCCTTCGTCATTGACGACAAACCTCATATTGGTAAGGACAAGTTTTGAGAGTGTGGGTGGCGGTTTTTGTGTGAGAAAAATACACTCACCCTCATTATGAACTATTTTTAGAAACCACGATCATCTCACAAAGATCTACAAGAACAACTCGAGTGAAATTAATCTCCACAGAAAGTAAAAAAACAAAACATTTAACATGATTAGAAATGATTTTATTTAGTGATAACGTCAAAGCCAAGTAATATTTCTCGTGGTAACTGTTAACTGCATTCGGAGTGATTTATTTACATATACATTCTTTTTGTAGTCATTCCCTGTAATCCATTAAAAGTTTCAAATTATTCAACTTATTCAGCCAACAGAGCTCCATGGTCACTTAGTACTGGTTATTTAGATGAAGATCCATATCTTGATATTGTTGTTGCTTTTCGAAGTAATGCTAGTGTTGGATTTTATTATGGTATCGGAAATGGAGCATTTCAACTAGCAGAAGTACGTACAAGTCACTCACCTCCTGTTTATGTTGCAATTAAAGATATAAATCATGATAATAAATCGGATATAATAATACCTTTTCGTCACACAAATACATTTGGAATTTTCATTAATCATGGAAATCGCCGTTTTAGTTCAATAGAAAACCATTTTACTCAATATTATCGAATCGAATATTATCCATATTGGGTTGATATATCAGATTTTAATCATAACTCACTATCGGACATTGTTGTTGTTAATGGTTATGATGCTTCTGTAACTATTTTCTACGATTATTCTAATTCAAGATTTAAGTATACAAAAATATATCAAGCTGGACATGATTGTACGGCTGTGTCAGTTGCAGATTTTGATAATGATACAGATGATGATTTTGCTGTTACTGATTATAGTGATAATACAATAAGTGTTTACATAAATGATAAAAAAGGATTACAGGGAATGACTACAAAAAGAATGTATATGTAAATAAATACACTCACCCTCATTTNACGGCGAAAAAAGTATCTAGCTGGAGTTGAACCATGGGGAATGACAACTGCTGATTTAAATAATGATGAATTCGTCGATATTATTGTTGCTAATCATGGTTCATCCAGCGTTAGTGTTTTGTTTAATGATGGACAAGGACAGTTTTATAAACGCGATACGTATTATATTGGCGGTAGGCCAATGCCAGTTGCAGTAGCTGATTTAAATAATGATTCATTTATGGATATTATTGCTTCGAATTATAAGGATAACTTCATTTATATCTTTTTGAATAATCAAGATGGAACATTTCTCCCCTATCAAACATTTCAAACTGATCCTGAAATCCTTGCAATAGCAACAGGAGATTTTAATCTTGATGGCAAAATAGATATTGCTGTTACTTCTGAAGGAAAAGATACTTTAAATATTCTTTTAAATTTATGTTAAAATCGCTTTATATAACTATTTCATTATCGACTGATGATCGACTTATATAATTCTTATTTGAATCAGAGGCGTGTGGAACAGCATTTTTTTGATACCCCGCGGGCTCCGATCCGTCTTCGTGTAGAAAATTATTTTATCCTCCTCTGCCTGTTTTTCCCGAGAACAGTTTTATTGGTGATCATATTTTTTTATTAGCAGTTTATTTTACATAATTTATTTATTCATCATAAAAAATCTATCACAAAAAAATATTACAAAATGAATACTTTTAGAAACCTTAAATTTAATTTGTTTTCTGTGATGAGAAATAATCGGCTGTTTATATAATTTCAATTGAGAAAGTTGTTCATTTTAGTATAATAAAATTAATAATATTAAAATGAAATTTTCTTTCTTGAAATGGCAACGTGATTCGATTTGAATCCTTTTCTTTCAAATTCTAATCTATATTTATAATTGATGAATATTTATAAATTATTTTCAATATGAAAACTGATGATTCAGATGATTTTCTAACTCTTTTATTTTTTCTTGATTATCCATTTAAGATCTTAATATGGATTAGATCATATAATCTTAATGATGGCAAAATTCTTATTCGTACATCAATAGAACAAATAATTAAATTTCCTTTTTTCATAGAAATTATTTGTTCGAATAGTTTTTTTCTTTTCCAAGGATACAGATTATTGTTTTGTTTTATGAGATTTTACTTCAAATAGTTTATTTATATTAAATCTTATTAATTCATCTAATAAACTAATAACAATAATAAAATCATCTCCATAAAAACTAAATCAATGAACACATATTGTTCAAGTATTCTATTCAACAAATGAATATTTTTTTTAGTTTGAATGAGAATTAAAATAAACTGATATTTATCATTTAGAAAATCTTTTTAATGTTCATGAAGATAACGGGAATATTACGTAGAATATAATAAAAAATATTCTTAAGAAAGAAAGTTGAAAATTCATTATATATTAAACAATCTCTCATTTTCTAATATCTTCAGAATTCTTGTTATTTTGAAATGGATACTTAGAAATTATTATTTCAAAATTTATTACATATTCATCCAAATTCTATTAGACAAATAAATGAAATGTTTTATTAACTTATTGTTCTAATCTATCAATAAGTCGATACAAATTCTTCATCAAATATTGTTGATATTCAATTTCGTACTTTCTATGTTATTATAAATAGTTTTAGTTATTATATTCAAAATCGTCTTTTAAACATGCAATTATGTATATATGCTACCCTTAAACTGTTGAAACATTTCTTTTTTTCATTTATCAATTCTCATAAATGTAATATTGATTTGATGGAAAAAATATTAATATTAAAATAATCTATACTCTCAAATAGTTCTTTTTATTTGTATTTGCTATATTTATCTTTTGTGCAGTAGTACTTGTCGTTGTCGTCCAGTTTATCGAAATCAAGTTTTAGTCGTAATTGAATTCGTGGATTACCAAATGAATAGAATGTCATGGTTCTACATGGTTGTTCTACTTTACATTTTAGCATGAAAACATAGTTTGACTGACCAAATGCGAACATATCTTTAACTAAGGCACTAACATCAATCACTGGATTGTATTCAATCCATAAACTTATACCTGAAATTGTTGCAGCATTAACTGTAATCATAGTTGGTTAGTTATTTCAGTTTGTTATATTTACATGACGTGGTAATGTAATTCTTTCTATCCATAAATCGTTTGGTTGTGTAGTATTCATACCCATACAATTCCGTAGGTCATATGGACCACTAATAACTTCAAATAATTTTAATTTGACCGAACGAAGAGTAACATTTTATGGTATTTCATTCACTTCATTAAAGAAAAGTGCAGTTCCAACTATTCCTCGACCACAACCACTGACACAATCTGTTCCAGTGGCGACAAAACAATCGTTCAGGATAATCCCAATTTATTATATTGGGTTGTCAACTAAGTTCTGGCGTTTTTTTTCTAAAATCTTGTAGAATAACCTAGAAAGTTCTAGAAGTTTCCATACTAAGGATATATATATATAGGACATGAATGTTTTTCGAATAATAAAAAAAATCATCGATATGGATCTTTTTCATAAAGAGATTCGCGTGCTTTTACTTTGCGAATTTCGTTTGGGCCACAAAGCAATGGAAGCAGCCAACAACATATGCAATACAATGAGCCGGAGCCTATTCTTCACTCGTACCGCGCAACGTTGCTTCAATCATTTCAAGAATGGGAGATTTAGAACTCGACGAGCTACCTCGATCCGGTAGACCAACGGAACTGGATATGTATCTTTTAAAGTAGCTTGTCGAAGAAGATCCTCGATTGACTTTACGATGTTTAGCAGAGCGGCTTGAGTGTTCTCATACTACGCTGGAAAAACATCTGAACGAATTAGGCAAGACCTGGAAATACGGATTATGGATACCTCATGAATTATCATCACATCAACTGCAACACAGAGTTGATATATGTATGGATCTAATCACATCTCATCGCAATTACCAATGATTATCCAATCTCATTACTGACGATGAGAAGTGGGTGTTGTATGTTAATTACACGCGTAGACGTCCGTGGTTGAGCACTTGTCAAACAGGCGTACCAACATCGAAGACTGATCCACATGCTAAGAAGTTTATGCTGAGTGTCTAGTGGAGTATTAAAGGAGTTGTTCATTGGGAATTTCTACCAAATGGTTACACCATTACTGCTGATCTATCATCATCATCATCATGTCCCATAGGCTTAGCGCCCGTTCGGGCCAACCATTTTACGGGATCAGATTTTTCCACGCTCGTCGGTCTTGCGCAAGATGGAACAGATCCTGTCCACTGCGTTGACACCACTCTGTTATGTCATCCAGCCACTCTCTACATGGACACCCCCGTCGAGACTTACCCTCTATTTTACCAAATACTACATGTGCCAGTAATCTACTATCGTCCATTCTACAGATGTGACCGAATAACCTGAGTTTTCTCTTCTTGATGGTGTCTATTATAGTCTCGTCTCTTGATATCCTTTTTCGGATGTCTTCGTTTCGTACCATATCTTGCCAATTTATTTTTAGAATTCGTCGGTAACATTTCATTTCAAAAACCAATAGTTTTTTCCTGTCTGCTCCTTTTAGAGTCCAAGTCTCTGATGCGTATAATAGGACGCTGAACACACATGTATTTAGAACTCTTAGCTTGTTTTCTATCCTCAATTTCTTGTTATTCCATATGTGTATCACACTGATATATTTTTTCTTTCTGTTGATATTTTCACTCACGTACATTTCATCCATATTTCTGATTATTCTAGTTGGTGTCAGTACAGTCGTCTTTTTCGTTCTTATCTTTCAATCCATTTTATTTCATTTTCTTCTAAATTCTTCCGATTGCGTCAGTTTTATGTAAATTTCTAGTCAGTTCTAGACCATGCATGTAATCTAGTAGTTTCTTTTAGTTTCTAACTTGTAGTATATATATGCTGGTCGAATAACACAATAGAAGAGAGAGAAAGAATAAAGAAAACCTTCTTTGCTCAAGTGTATCTATCTAGATCAAGAATCAATCTGACACATTTTCAATATGGCTGGTTAAAAAAAACGACGTTTGGTTGAGAATTAAATAGGAGAAATTGTGGATAATTCTCATTCGGATTTATCATCAAAAGATGAAGTCTTAACAAATTTCAATTCTCTATCTATTGACTCTGCTGATGAAGAAGACACAGCTGAACGTCAACGGACATGCGGAACATTTATACCATTGATACCTGAGTTTAACGGTAAACCAGGCTTACAAGATACGATTCTATTGCTTGGAAAAACACCACTGGATTATTTTCATTTTTTTTTCGATGACGATATGATGAAGCGTATAGTCGACGAAACAAATCGCTATTATTCTCAGAATCCAGTGGGTGATCGACAGCACATGTCTAGCTGGCAAGATATAACCTCAGTGGAAATGTATATCTTTCTTGTAATCACAATTCTTACTGGCATTATCAGGAAAAATACAATTAATGATTATTGGAGCACTGATCCTTTATTATCCACACCTATTTTTGGTCAGTATTTTACAAGAAATAGATATTTAGACATTCTACATTACCTACACTTTGTCAATGATGATGAAATTTCTGAAAACAACCGTCTCGAAAAGCTAAACCCAAGCATAGATCAATTGAAAAAGAAGTTTTCCAGTTGTATCAGTCCAACACAAAATCTCTGCATTTATGAAAGTATCATGTTATGGAGAGGAAGACTTGGGTTTAGATAGTACATTCCATCCAAACACGATCGATTTGGGATCAAACTATTTGAGCTCGTCGATTGTGAAACTATATTTATCCTAGATTTTATCATTTACACAGGAGCCAATACAGAGTATCAAATTACACCTGGACTGAAATTGAGTGGATCTATTGTAATGACGCTAATACAACATTATTTGAATAAAGGGCACCACTTATATGTCGATAATTGGTATACAAGTCCAGCACCTTTTGAACATCTACATCGGAAGAAAACTGGTGCATGCGGTACTGTTCGCAAAAATAGGAAAGGATTACCATCTCTATCAAATGGGTTGAAAAGAGGTGAAAGCCAATACTCTCATACAAATGTCTTACTTGCACTGAAATGGAAGGACAAAAGAGATGTTTATATGCCTTCAACAATTCATTCGCCATCATATACAGATACAAACAAAGTAGACCGGCAAACTGAACAAGTAATCCGTAAATCTGTTTGTATTCTTGAATATACTAAAGACATGGGTGCTATTGATCATACCGATATGCAAATTTCGTTTTCCGAATGTACAAGAAAATCAATAAAACGGTACAAAAAACTTTTTTTTCATTTATTAGATATGACTATTTATAATGCATTTATAATTTATAAAATGCAGAATAATATTTCGCCTCAATTATCTGATTGTCGACTTGATCTCATCAGAGAAAGTTTGACGAAGTTCGGACCACAAAGACCAAATTACTATTGGAAGGTCATCAATAAGACTTTCTCCTCTTCATCTCACTGCCCGGCATTTTCCATCGTTGATCGCACAAACATCACAGCTAGCAGAAAAACCTCGACGCAGATATGTAGTGTGCACATCTCATAGTATTCGACGCGATACACAATATATGTGTTCCGACTGCGATGCACCTCTGTGTCTGGTTGACTGCTTCAAAAACTATCATACAAAGATGAACTATTAACTTTTTTTGAGCAGGAATGTAGTTTTTTTGTCAAAAAATAAAAAACACATTCGAATATTACCGTTAAAACCTTTGATTTTCGTAAAAAAAGCCGGTAGCCAAAGGGTGAAAACTAAGTCAGGGAACATACGTAGCACCAAAACGTTTCGAAGATATTTATATTCGTTCGCCATGGATTGCACAAATATTTATTGACAGTCTTTCGACAGAATCAACGATCATAGGCATCGTGATGTCTGATGGAGAATACGTGCACAAGAAATATCAAGTCGCAAAAACGGAAAAGCAATTTGTCGAGTTGTGCCAGGATTCGAAGCTAAAAGAAATAATTCAATTGGATCTACGTAATAAGACTGAGGAAAGAAAACAAACTGAAATATTATGAAATCCCAAGTAATATTCATCTTCATCATGAATCATTTTCGCAAAAGAATGGATTACTAACAATAACATTCAAAACAAGACGAATCAACGCTCGAAAGCAGTTTCAATCGATTATTAAATCATTATATGAGAGTGTACGAGAGTGAGGGTAGCGGTGTGCATGTATTTATTTTTAAAGAAAGCTAAACGCATGAATAAGCACGCAAACAAACAAGTTTAATTTCTAATGTCAATGGGAGTCGACTCTTGCCAATAGCTGTTCGAGAGTAGTTTCATCTGTACAACAGATTTGATCCGCACAAGTTTCAACCAGGCGAATGTAGTAGTCGAAAAACTCTTTAGCTTTTTCATCGGTCGATATTTCATGTGCCATTGAAAAGTCCAGTTGACCATCACCTACACATGTTGCATACATGCAAGTCCCAGGACGAAAGCGGCTGCCGTTATTGATCAGATGTAAACCTCGTATTTTCACAGCACTTTGATAATCACATGGAAAAGGATATTTTCCAAGATTGGAATAACCCATTTCACCTATACGTCCTTCAGATCCAACTTGAGCTACTTTATCAAGAACACGTTCATCTTTGAAAATATCCACTAGAACGTGCATTGTTAACGGAATACCTTGTCGTTTTAATGAATTTTGAGTTATCGACATCGTTTTACGTGCCAGTGTCCAAAATCGTGTCGATCGAATTGAAAATGATCGGTTCAGCTTCAGCTCGTTGGTACCAACGAAAAAACCGACTGATGAAGTTGTTAGTCGAGATCCAGGCAAACGTGTACGCATATCAAACGCGTTGCTAATTTCGAATGGCTCCAATCGAGTGTTGTTTTTAGACGGAAAACAACGATGGATAGCTAAGAGGAGGCAAGAAAACAGTGCACTATTGATTGTTAACTCATGCGAACGACATTGTTGATGTAACTTTTTACAAAGATCAGTCGAAGATGATGCAAATAAAAACTTGCTTTTATACCGTTGTGCTTGAATTGGTGTTATCTGACTATCAGTTATAGGAATTGCCTTAACCGGAATACGTGGCCGATTCAATCGACGTAGTTCATGTTGGATGAGCTTTTGAGCAATGAATGATATCAATGGATAAAGAGAAGCAAATGGTCGTGGAATCATTTGATGAATAATTGGTAAGATTTCGGTATTGATGGGTTCTGCTCGTTCCAGTAGATTTGAGGACGTAACCAACGTCAAAAAATCATTTATGATGATAATTCCACTACGACCATCAGCAGCACAATGATTGCTAAAGAGAATCAAATGAAATGGCACATCATACGATTGTCTCTCATTGTAGATAAGCATAAAATGAAAGAGTGGGAAAATTTCGGTCTCATTCTTAGTATATGGATTTTGATTGCAACGATTTTCGACAATATTTTCCCATGTAATGTCGCTTTGTCTAACAGTTGAAAAAAATAATTCATCGGAATAATATTCTTTATCATAGTCGAAAATATCCAACATATATTGATTCTTCTCCACACGAAGGCGTGAACGCATACGAGGATGTCGTTTCAAAAGGCATTGAATAGCGTACGGTGCATTGGCAGCTATCATTGAATAATCACCCGTCATATGAACCGCGTGTGCAATTGTTGTCCAACCGCCATCGGCACAAAAGAATTTTTCAATACCATCGAGTAACAAGGTAGAATGTGCCGGACGAGACATTTCTCAGCACCTTGCAATATGAAATAAAACTAGAGTCGAAAAGATTGTTTTTCTTCGCTCGTTCTTCGTTAGTTTAACCGAGTCAACAATCTGTAATAACACCGTAATGGATCTCTTTTTATAGAGTGAAAATAACGTTAAGTACGGGGTAGCGTTTTTCTTTCTTCACCAGGTGTGTTGTTTTTATTACTAAGACGTTGTTCGTCCGCGGAGTACGTGCGAAGAAAGTCACGAACTATTTTTATCTCGTAAGAACAGTATATACAAAGGTAATGGTGAACAACTATTTCAATTTATATCCTTATCCACCCACTCTCAACCTTTTCCAGGCGTTTAATGAATTGTCTATTGTTTTTAATAAACGTGCAAATAGGCAATGTGTAATATGATACCAAATATATTTCTATTAGTCGAACGTGATAATTCGTAGAAAAAGAATAGCAAATAAAAGTAACAGTATTGTTCACGAGATCTTTTTTTTTCACAGTTTTGAAAGTTCGAGAATATGCTGACACAAACTCTATGCATAGTTTTTCTTTTGTCTATTGTTGAAGGTGGCGTTCATATCTATCATACTGAAGATGGTTCAATCGTAGAATTTTATGATTGTATTCTTCACGAAGATCTTCTCTATTGCCGCCGGCCAAGTGAGCCGATTGTTTTACAACGAGATAATAACACACAATATTGTTACAATGATGGTAAAGTCCATCCGGCTACTTCACTTCTTGATAATGCTAATAATAATTATATATGTGAATGTACAAATTTACAATCGTTCGGAAGGCACTGTGAGTATCTGTTACCAATGGGCACAACGTTCGAAGCAACACTTCGATGGGAATTAGAAGAAAGGAGGAAGAATGAAAATGACATGCAGATATATGGTGATATTTTATGCTATAGAACATTAACTTGTGATTCGGGTCTATTGTGTCTTGACTGGCGAGATATTTGTGATGGTGTTCAGCAGTGTATGTTCGGTTATGACGAAGAAAACTGTGATAAATTGGAATTTAACGAATGTGAAGATGAGGAGTATCGATGTATGAACGGAATGTGCATACCCGACGAATATTTTCTTGATGGTGATTATGATTGTATGGATATGACAGATGAAATTGGATATAACAGTGGTTTCGATTGTGCATTTCAAAAGGTTAGAATGGAATGTGATGATCGCGTGTGTTTGAGATTTCAATATTCGTGTGGTGACGGGCAGTGCATCAAGGATCGTCTGGCTTTCCGGAAATCGTCGAGCATAGGAGAAACATGTAGGAGTTGTCGTGATCAATATTACATGTGCGAAACCCATTCTCTTGATTTCCAATGGACTTTGCCCAATGGTAGATGTTATATTGGCAACGATTACAATGAGAGCAGCGTTCTTGACAGAAATAATACTGAACAATGTATATATTTCTTGAAATGTGCCCTTTCAGATGGAGCAGAAGTTAATTGCGACTCTATGAATAGTGACACGGGCTATATTGAGCAACTAAGTAGTTATTGTCAATTGTTGTTTGTTCAATATCCCGCAGGTGCAATACTTAGTCCTTATACATATTATTTTTATAACATCGAGCAGTGGTCACTGGAAGACGACGATATAATTGATTATTTGATCATACTCAATGCAACCATTAAATGTCGAGAATATCTAGTTCATTATTATACGTATATATTGGATTCAATCGGTGAATCGCTTCATTCCTGGGAAGCTCTTATATGCGCGACACCAGTAGGAAATTCTCTCGTTGTTGGAGATGGTTATGATCAATTATGTTACAGAAACTCTCGAACATTCACAAATCAGTCGTACAACACCATTGATGTGTGCAATTATACGAAAGAATGTATCTCGGCTTACCGGATAGCAGATGGACTGGCTGATTGCGCAGATCGGATGGACGAAGCTGAAAGCAATCGAGATTTAGTATTGAATGCATGTTCGAGAATGCAGCGGCATCGTTTTCGATGCTCTTCCGAACAACCATCATGTTTATCTATACTCGTTCTCAATAATTATATACCTGATTGCAATAACAATCATGATGAAATCCTCCCAGTAAAGTTATATTACAACAGTAACTACAATAGCGATCGCCAAATTCTCAGAGAGTATATTGAGCATTCATGGAAAGTTGACAAAGTATTACAACTCGTGGAAAATGTGCCGTTTCGTGCGTATTGCGACACATTTTGGGATTTGGAATTGCAGATGGACGAAGACCATCATATTTGTAAAGAATGGTGGATCTGCTCTAAAGATCAGTGGCAATGTCATTCAGGTCAATGTATCGATATTAATTGGATCCTAGATGGAGAATGGGATTGCTTGGACGCCTCAGACGAACAAGGAATTTTCTTTACTAATCATTCTTTATCTGTACACAATATCGATCTAATAAGTAATTCTACTTTGAGAACAAATTTTCTGGCACGTTATAATGAACAATCATTTTGGAATATTTGCGATTTCAATATAGAATTTCCATGTTTTCCAGTAAACTCTTCTCATCTATTGACCAGCACTGGTCACATACATCCGTGTATCGGTTTGGAAAAAGTTGGCGACGGTCATCCTGATTGTTTGGGCGGTATGGATGAACGAAACACAATGGAACATTGTAATCAGAGAAATATGCTTGGCTACGCTTTTCAGTGCCTGTCGACTAAGACTTGTGTTGACTTTTACGATGTTTGTGTCACTCGGTGTCCCAATGTCACCGATGATCAACAAATGTGCGTTGGTTCCGAAGAATCCAATCGTTGTAATCAGGGTAATGCTTTTCAGTGCTGGAATGGAACTTGTATTGCGGAAGGATGGTGTAATGACATACCGGACTGTGTACATGGAGAAGATGAATACTACTGTGAAATTCCAAACGTCGAACGCGCACGTATTGAAAGTATTTATCGTATTCAGAAGAAAAACATTGCTTCAACGACTCCGAAGCTACTGAATTTACCAACGTTTCCTGACAAAACGAAAGTAAAATCAGATAGAACTATAATAAATTCCACCATTCCAGAGAACATCGAAATTATCGAGACAGACAACAATAGTTCTTCGCCGATTGCTTACATATGCAATCGTGGTGTTGGCATGTATATACATAACGGTTCTATTGTTTGCTTTTGTCCTGAACAATACTATGGTGACAAATGTCAGCTTTATAGTGATCAACTCACTCTAATTCTCAGTTTGAATATTTCAAATTATAATTATACAATCGATACAAATATAGCTACAATCTTAAAAATGCTCGTTGTGTTCACACATGAAAATGAAACGGTTGCCATGAAGGACTTTCATGTCCGACCTGCTATTGAACTGACCCATTGGAAAAAACAAATTATTCGTTTTCTATATTCACGAACGAATGTATCATTGAAAAGAAAACGACAACGATATTTTAATCGATCGAGTATTATTCACGAACATCCTTACTCGGTTCAAATCGAAGCTTACGAACTGAATCACGATCAAACTCCATTGTTCATCGGCATCTGGAAATACCCGATCTATTTCGATTACCTTCCATCATTTCGACTTGTTAAAATACTACGTTTAACCACTATGGGCAATATCGACAATCCATGTTCGAGCAATCCATGTAAAAACGATTCTCAATGCCATCAACTACTCAATCAACCACATAATTACATCTGTTTCTCCATCAATCCTAATCCTAATCAGAGTTATTGTTCCAGTCAAGCTCTGTATCGATCAAATTACCACAATTCAGCAGATAGAAATGATTCATCTACGTATTGTATTTGTCCGTTAAAACGTTACGGCCGTCGATGTGAACTATCACACGATGAATGTAATCGAAATCCTTGTGAAAATAATGGTACTTGTCTATCATCAATTAAGCCAATGGATTATTATTGTTCATGTACTCACCTGTACTATGGAAAACGATGTGAATTGTCAAGACAGATAGTCTCCTTACATATCAATGAAACTGTTGAGTATAGAGCGATGGTTATTCAATATTTTCGAATAGATCTTGCCACGTTAAATCTGATCTTAATCTCTCAACATGTTTATCAACAACTTCCTGAGCAATTGACAGTTTTTCATAATGAACTAAAACCACCCGATATTATCGTTGCGAAACAATATCTCGGTGGCAATCAAGTAAACATTTATATAATTTCATTGCAAACTCATGTCACTTCTGCCAATGTCTTCACAAATCTGCGTGAAACGAATCGTTGTGTCAACATTCGCACTTTATTTTCATTACATGATGATTCAATTCACGCTTACAAATACCACAATCTTTGTCGAAAAAATCATAGTTTATTTTGTTTCTTTGATGATCATTATCTATGTATTTGTGATGCAGATCATTATCGTGTTGAATGTTTCGGTTATAATCACAATCTCGAACGTTGCTCATCGTGTTTTGCTAATGGTCAATGTTTAATTGAAAATCGATTATATCAAGACAAATATCTTTGTCTTTGTCCACAATGTCGTTCTGGTCGATTATGCCAATTTATGGACGATGGTTTGAGCTTTACTCTCCATTCTGCTCTCCTCCGCGTTCATTATACTTATCGGATTGTTTACTGTCTGATTACTTTTCTTATCTTTATTTTTGGTGGATTAACAAATTATGCAACATTGATCACATTCAATCAACCGAATGTACGAAATACAACTGTTGGAATTTATCTTTTGTTCTATTCCATCGTTAGTCAATTGACATTGTTCTCGTTAATTTTGAAGAGTTTACAAATACTTGTCGATTTTCTCATGAACGATATCCTATGTAAAATCGTCTCGTATATGCTTTCAATTACTATGCGATGCTCATTTTGGTTGATTAGTTGGGTGGCGATTGTGCGTGTTGGTTTTATTCTATTTCCGTTCTCAAGCTCATTGAAAAATGTTCAATTTACGATAATCATAAGTTTTCTAACATTGATCATCATTGCAATTATGAACATTCATGAATTATACTTCTATTTAAAGGATCCAGGTACACAATCAGCGTGTATTGTAAGCTATTCATCATTCGTATCCTCATATGAACGTACTACTGTTGTGATTCACTATACAATTCCGTTTTCGATTCAAACTTTATCAGTAACTACATTGATTATCTTAGCTGCACGGAGTCGGTCTCGAGCAACAAATCATTTTGATACATTTTTCAAATATCTTCAATGGCAATTTCGAAATCAAAAAGAAATGTATGTCGTTCCTCTAGTGATTATCATTAGTGGTTTGCCACAATCAATTCTATCGTTTAGTTTCTCGTGTATGGATTTATCCGAATGGCAAAAACATCTTTTACTCATTGCTTATCTTTTTGCTTATACACCACAATCGCTTGGTTTTATTTTATTTGTTTTACCATCGACGAATTATCTGAAAGAATTTCAAAGAACAAATCTGTCGAAAATGCTCATCTTTCGATTGATCATAGCCAAAGTCAAACGCAGAAATTTTAGACTAGGGACAACACTAAAATGACTTTTATTTTTAATCATTTGTAGATGCGCGTCCTGTGTGTACTGTTTTTCTGAATGTTAAATTTTTCGAAGAACCAGAATGTGATAATAGAAAATGAAAACGATTCTCACACTCGTAGTTTCAGATTGTTAAAGTATGTACATAACTGCTTCATCATACTGTTTTGATTTCGCATTCGATAGATACGAATACGACAAATGAAAAATGTAATTCGAATTGTCATTTGTATTCTGGTTTAGTGATTAGTTCCTGAAGAAGAATCTTTCTTTTCTGTTGAGATTTACGAGCTAAATTCTTAGAAAAATAAGCGAATAAACATCAAATTCAAATTTCGTTACTTCATTATTAGGAAAAAGTACGTCTTCGTTATAGATCAATTTGAAATAAGCGTAAGCCATTCCTCTATTGATTGAAAGTGACGCAAGTAAAAAAAATATAAAAGAAAAAGTTATTCGAATTATATAGTTATAAGTATTCCTGTAGAGTTTCTATTTGTCAATTATTTTTTGCGATATTTTCTTCTCATGTAGTCACGTACAGATGGATATATATTTCTCTCGACGTCCATATTATTGGCAGTTGGATTTTGAAAATATTCGCGAATTTGTGTTGAACTTACATCAGTAAGTTTCGTACGCTCCTTCGACAAGGAAATATATATAACATTTGTTGTTTTAAGTGAACGATTGATTTGTTGTTCATCGCATCCTCGACGATAAACAATAGCACAGGATATATTATTTTGTTGCGCCATACGCTCCATATACGTGCATTTGTTATAATGATCTAATCCACATACATAAATCACACGTAGTGGATAGCTCAGTAAGTTGTTTTGTCCAACTAGTGTAGTATTTAGAAAATCACGAAGATTTTCTGTAACTGGACAGAAATCAACAAAACCTTCATACCATTCACTTTCACCTCGAGAAACAGAAATCCATGATGATACTTTCGAACCTTCATATTCGATAGCTTCTTCACACAGACGACATCGATCTTTAGCTGGAATCCATGCCGAATCGCCTAGTTTCGAATGCACGTATGAATCGCTGCAAAACATGATTTCATGTCTTTTGTAATCAGAGAATGGATTGGAAAAATCAACATACTGTGTTGGTGAGATGTATCCTGCAAGTACGTTCATTGGTGGCTGATGTTCTCGTTCAAGATGATCTTTAACGCGTAATAAATTTTGAAAATGGAAAGGATGAACGGGGTTGAACGAGCCAGTTGTAATGAGAACACAGCTATAAATAAAAAAAAGTACACATGTTTCTAGATTACTCTAATAATTATACTGTTAAATGTATAAAAACACATTTCCACAACAAAAAATCTCACTTCTGTCGGCTATGGTTTAAGTTACGCATTTCGCAGCTCGTCAGCAGTATATTAATATTGGTGTTTCTCGTATTGTGCATCATTCGATCGTCTTTGTGAGCTTGACTTTTGGCATACGTATGTCCATAGGCGCCAGCAGCAACAGTTGTCTTATTGACACTTGTATACTTTTCTACAAAAAGTGAAAACGGAGTGCTTGGTATAGTCACAATACTTTATAAAATTCTGTTGAACTATCGAATTTGAGATGAAGAAAGTATTTTATCTTACTCGAATTCAGTGAAGATGGGCCTAAACTATGTTCTGTTGTGTTTCCTATATTGGCTTGTTGTGCTGCAGTTTGCGCTTGATCAAAATTGACGAAATTTCGTAAATCTTTGGTGTAAGCGGTTATAAAAACACCTTGCAACTGTTTTGAAGATAATTCTGATTGAACAATATCTTCTGCATTTTGTTTATCACTTGTAAAGACAAGACACTGATTTTTGAATCCTAAGTCGCGTACTGCTTTGATCAATCGTGCACCGGCATTATAGCTTGGGGATTCATTTTCTCGGTTCATATCGGTGACGATTCGAAACGAGTCACTGCTCTTCAAACGTTGTCCAAATGGAGATCGAAGAAACGACAAAGCGCTTTCAGTCGATGACTTCGGAATAAAATGTACGTTAATATCCAGTGCTCTAATTGCTGCATATTCCATATGCTTTTTATTTTCCCAGTTTTCATCGAATATGCGATCATCGACCCACAATATTGACCATTTACACAAACCTAATTCCACTTGTCGCATATAGATTATCTGATTACCTTCTGTTTTGGAGGCTTTGCGATTGAGAACAATAAATGTAGAATGTGGAAGAAAAAGAACTTCGTCTTCTTCTGGATAATTCGAAAAATTCTTGATTGGACGACCGGTTAGCGAGTAAATTTTGAACAGTGTATTTCGCCTTTTGAATGCTTCGGAATCGTGTCCTTGTTTACCTTTTTTCGAACTGCTAAACTGAATCCAGGTAACGACTCGACCTGGTTGGTACATATTTAGTTCGTCAAACTTCAGTTCACAAGCCCGAGTAACGTAACCCCAATAGAAGGGTATACGAGAGAGCGCCTTGACCAAATAATAAAGAATGATAGATGCTTCATTCATTTCGGCTTCCGTTTTCTTGTCGAATGTTTGGGAGTTACCTTGCCGAGCAACAAGACTACCTGCACGACTGCACGTTTCACTTTTTGGACCAGTATAAAACGAAAGAGCAAAAGCCATAGCTTTTGCTTCATCTACCGGTACATTTTGCTTCAGAAAATGCTCGTGTGACAACTCAACACGTTTTTCATGATTAATCATGTTCTCACTAGCGTCTTCTCCTTCACGATTCTCGTATCGATAGCAGATTTGTTTAAGTTTGTTATAAGAGGCTTTCGATTGGATCATGTCTTTCAGTGATGCATTAAAGTTATCTTCAAAAACATAGTGACTTTCTCTTTCATTTTCGAGTTGTTGTGTAGTTCCTGCTAATTTCATTTTCTCCAGAATAAATTCCATATTCTCTGAATTCATCAGTGCATATTCGGCTTGATCATCTTCTGAATTTGACGAGTTAGCTATTTGAGCCATAGTTCGTTTCAAGTTCTGCAAATCTTCTTTTTGCGTTAAACCGCCCACTCCAATCATGTAACAATCATGAGGTAAACGATCGAAAGGCATGGCATCGCTTGGATTGTATGCACATAAGTCCTTGAGAATATCTGCTACGGCTCGAGTTCCACCTTTTTCCATCACGAGTAAATGTGTTGTCTAAGTAATAGATTTACAAACTTTTAGGTATGTCGTAAATATTTCCAACGGTAAGCTCTTGGACAGATTTTCACTCAATTACAATCTAGAATAAAGAATTAGAGACTTACAAACCAGTGCATAACTGTCACAATATCATTACACTGAGGATGGGTATGACCCACGAAAAAACTTTTTCGATCAAAACCGCGGTAGATCATGGTGCGAGAAGGCGTTGGTGTCAGCGGTTTAATTGAACCGCGAAAGTCAGACCTTTTATTAGGTTTTCTCACACCGGCCGAAACCGCGGTTATTAATGGTTTTTCGAAAAAAAGTAATTCACCATCATGGTGGTATATCATCTCTGCCATCTATCTCATTATCATCTACTATCTTCACATGGTCATTTCACGCCTCGGTCAGCTCATTAGATCTTCCTATTTTTTAT